AAACTTCAAACTAAGACATTACGTGTTCAGTATTCTACATGCCATTGATAACTTAAAACATTCCCAACCGTTCGATTTGTTAAGATAAAAGCATTATACCAGTGAAATAATCACAAACCTTTTACGTGAAACAATTTGTGAATTTAAATTGTGGTGGTTCTTAATGTCAAGTTGTTGTCATTAAATTAAACCTTTAAATATTTTATAAACATAGTAACAAGAAAGCCACTAGGTGTATATCGCTCAATTTATTTCTATAAATAGAAATATTAAAAGGACAAAATTATATAGTTTTACATTTTTTGTAATTTTCCCATATAAGAGTTTAGGCATGACATGTGGTCTGATTGCTGTAACTAACATGCAATGGGTTAGTAGACTCACGCAATGTGGGATACACAAAAGGATAAAATCTATAATTTTGGCCAATGTTAACTTTCATGATAATGGACTATGGAGGGACAATACAAATACAGAGCACATCAAAATTAACCAGACATATGTACGGACAAATGATCAAAAACGTGTCCTTCGAAAATGCTATATGAGCTCAAAAAAGTGAAAACAACATAAACAAGATGACAATAATGACCAGCAAAACATTCTTCGTTGAGAGATGTAAAAGTACCATGCTGTGCATGCGTCGTTGTGATCCACGTCGGTTTGTTAACGGTCGAAACTTGTTTTATGTACATATGAAAAACTCTGCAAAATATATACAAATGAATACAAGAAGATGCTTGAATATATCATATATATGTCGGTCAGTCAGCAATCCAACATAGCCTATAAACTAAAAAGACATATTGATTGCATGTAAGAGCGTATCAAGGAATCGAAAGTTGTTACATACAACAGTTGGAAAATTATAAGTTATATGAGCTTGGGATTCTGTAAGATTAGCAGTGTTTTAGAACAATATAGCAGTGCAGCTTATTATGAATAAAATGTCGTGTAAGAATCTAATGTAAAGAAACCATGTCAGATAAAGAAAAAAGGCTTTTTCCAAAATATAGGAGTGATGTCCGTTTGTTAAAGATATAAACGTGCGTGTTATGTAATACTAATGAGATGTCGACTAAGATAGTACAGCAATGGATAAGAGAACTGTTGTACTATTAAGTTTAGAAAAATTAATGGGTTTTTTTCTGTGTAATTTTGGTATGCTTCTTTATTACCTGATTCAGTAGAGACCAGTGTCAAATGTACATTTGATTCCATTTTAAGACCCGAATCATGGATTAAAGTAGTAGGTTATGCAAGTTTCAATTAAGTTAATTAAAGAGATACAATGGATATACGATGTGTTATCCCACAAAAACACACACAAAACAACCACTTATTTGAAGAACATACGTAAAGGATTTAAATCAGGAAAAATATTTAAAAATATCTAATTAAGGCTAAGAAGCAGGTAGATTGCGAGACAATCTGCTGATATCCTATTTCTTTACTGCTCTCAAAAATTTTTCAAATAAAATATTTAGCGTGAAAAATTGTCAACTTGGAATTGTAAAGCAGACACAAATATAGTTCCGAGGATTTGTATTCTTCATTGACGTCACAAGTAAAATTCTATGGAAACGAATCATTATGGAGATGATATACGACCACATTTGCATATACGGCCAATTCAATTTGACTGCGCAAATACCGCAGTTCTGGTGTAAAATCGAAGACAACGACAGAAGAGGTTTCTGGGTTCTAAATCCTCAGTTTGTTTTGAAAAAAAAGCAACAATTACATTGATAAGCGCTATTGAACATAATAAATCCTAATCAAAAATAGAAATAAACTTAACAAGTTTCCGTTAATATTCATTGTACACACAAACCGTACCTAGAATGCCCACATAAACTGAAAAGCAAGCTCAAAGTTCTTAAACCTGCTGATATATATACTATAACTGATTGTCTTCCTCCACAAATAATGATTTTTATTATTCAGTGTTTCAACAAATATGTTTCATACTGTGATCCTATGGTTTTAATTTATTCTTTTATGTTTATCTGTATCATACGGATAATTGGCCAACTTTATGCAACAACACTTCTTACCAAACTTAATGAGAACATTCTATGTGACATATAAAAAACACATGACATAGTACATTAGTATTGATATATAACATACACTATATGAACTCCATGTATACGCGCAACACTTCTTTCTAGAATAACATGCTTAGGTTAACTTGACCTTAAATGGTCAAAGATTTAAACAATCTTAACGGACTATCAAAAGTTCAGTTCGGTTGATTTTTATCATTATACGGTTTGTATTGGTCGTATGTAAGACAAACAAGCAGGACAATTTGATTAAATTGATATATGGTTATATTTGGCATAGTACTTTCCCGTTGATATATAACAGACATTACATGAACTCCGTGCATGCATACAGTACTAATTTCTTTAAAGCAATAAAGGTTAAGATGTCCATATAAACCTAGCAAACTATTCGAAATATGTCAATCTTGTAGGTCAACAAGAAGAACACAAATATATTGTCAAAATATTGGGGTTGTTGCAAGACTTAAACAAATTGCATTAAACTCCTGAATCGAATAATTGTGGTTATAATTTTATCAAAAAATATTATTACACACTATTTACAATTCTTGAAGGTTCCGCGGACCCAAGTGTCTCGCCAACGATTGCTGCTGCCATTGTAAAAGTGTAATGTTGACTTTTAATCAATCCATGTAGTTTTACAAATTTATCATGTCATAAAAATTAAATCTCAGATTGTCTCTAAATGTTAACTGTTAAACTAAGTCCATCTATCACAGAAAAAAAATGAACACGAAAAAAAATATATTCTCGAACATTTGCTTCAAACATTATCTCTTAATCATAAAATAGCTTCTGCCAAAGTTTTATGAAATTGTATGAGGGTTTGACAAAGTAGATGTATAACAAACTTTTACCCCAGACTGCATTTACTTGTTGACTCTGGTAAACATACTATGTGCATTTATCAGTAAAATACGGAAAAATAAAAATAAATATTTCCAAAGTTGTGCTCTGGATACTTACATAAACAAGCTTCTCTCCAAAGTTGTTAGTGCAAATTGAAAAGTTATTATACATATTCTTAACTTTGTTCAAACTGCACCAATGTTCAAGGAATTTCAGAAAATAAAAACAAGTTTCACATTTAATGTGTTACTATGTGATCAATCTATGATATCATGTGTATAATTTGTAAAATGTCATGATTAGCCTTGTTTTACGTCAGCCTTTAGGTATATATAAGGTTGGAAAAGTATGTGCGCACCTAAAAAACAACTTTATTTTTGGTTAGATTATGTCAATAGGTATAGTAAAGAATCTCCTAAATTAGTCTGTTGTATCTTGCCTGCGCACGATGTTTCCACAAAGGAAATAGTGAAGGAAAACTGCATGAAATTTGACATTTTCTTTGTTTTCATGAAATTGGTGCATTTTATGACGTAATTGTGACGTCATTACATACAAAATATAATGTCATTCATTTATTAAATTTCTTGAATTTATGTGTTTTTAAATATTATGTGCAAATTTGAAATAGTTCTCAAAACCTTAATTTTCTTGGGCCAAACCCGGGTCTGAATGACCCTACTCCTTTCCATGCAAGTTTGACGAAGCTATTGATATCGAAAATTAAAGATAACCACAGACAGGACTTAATGTTGACGCCACCAATGCCGAAGCAAACGGCGGAATCTAGGATCGCTAAGTCTCGCTTTCGTGACAAAAATGTCGCATGAACGACAAATAAATTCACAAAATACACAGTGTAAATGTTTGCAAAGTTCAAACTTATCAAATACTAGTAAAAGTCAGTACTTATATAGGTTCACAGTTAGAAATATGTACATGATGTTTGTACAGCTATGAAAATTCCCGGTTATTTTGAGTTTAGCTTAACAAACTGAAAAATAGAATAAAAATAAAACAAAAAACAAAATATAACTATTATACCTGCGCATTAAGTTTCAAACAGGACAACACAAATAGAAAATGTTAATGAGTAGTAGCCTTGTAGAATTATCTTACTGAGAAAAAAGCACCCCTCCTTAAACAACACGCATTTCTAATCTATAGAAAATAATTCAAACACATTTTAAAAAAATACGGATATCCAATGTAAATTCAACACGGGGTAAAACCTGACAAAATTAAACGGTCGACTCTATCAATCAAAGGAACACACGGAAAACAACCGTCATATTCCTCAATTTGACATTTGTAGAAGAAAAAGAAAGGCTGACTATGGTTTTAAAGCTAGTAAAACTTTCCTTTCGAGAAGTTGGTTACCCTTCCGTGTATCCGTTCGTTTATCTGGTTTCATTTAACCTAGACAGAATAGAGTACCTGCTGTTCCATCGACATCCTTATATAAGTATGGTAGCAAGAACGCCTGGTTATCCGGCTGGAAATTTGACAGATTATGTTTCAACAATTTTTGATTTACGGAACATATTATAAACATTAAACCTTTTCTAACCGTTTCAATGTTTCTGACTTTTGACAATCACTTTCTCGTGATTTTTGGTGAAATTTGTGCTGTGACCACTCAACACAATGTCTCTATTTAAAACAAAATACTGAATGAAAGAACTTAAATCAGCAAAATTTTTTTTACTGTCGATTGATATTATGTTCTTTCCCTTGTTATAGCTTTTAGTGTGTATATGCCATAAAACACAAGCACTAAATCAAACCAGCATTCAAACATTTGAAACGAACAATCCAGTGTGTCAGACCTATATGGGAATATACATTGTAAGTAAAATAATGTTAATTTACGTGTTCTTATAATATTGATAATTGTATGTCAAATTTGGTAATTTTATTTCGCATTCAACATCAACTAAATTGATTTTGTAAACTTAAGCAAAATAAGATAATAAAATATCATTTTGACTCTTTTGTCAAAAAGTCTGTTTTAAATATTTTATTTATGCTTGTCATCAACTATAATATGACAAACTTAACTTTTAAACTACGTCTTACCTTTATATCCTTTATAAAGTCACTAAGAAAATCACGGATATAATTGTCTCCGTCATCCATCTTTTGTTTAAAATTATTATTCAAGGGTAACGAATAGTTGTGGCACAGCTTAACTTATTCATTCGTATCAATAAAAAGACCTCGTCTGTTTCATTAGTTAAAAAAAATCGCTTATTATTCTTACATTCGTATCAATTGGACTGTAGAAAAGGTAATCTTCCAAAACAAATAGTTTCCCAGCAATTTCTAGCAAAATATATTATCAAGATTTTCCAAAGTTCAATTGTTTCCATATTTTTTAACCACAAGATATAATACTCGGTTTACTATAATATATCACACGAGAAAAACAACATGAGAAAACTGTTGAAAGTTATTCAAAAATAAATCTACAGGCTCCGTAAGTAGGATAAAAGGCTATACATTCAATTAATTGAAGCCAATACTGTTAAAACATATGTAGTGCCCAGATCAATGATCGACAAGACGTTTTACGTCTCATATGAATAAAGGAGTCAATCAATATAAATATATGTAAACTGCCTCCGCTTTAATCTCCCACTGTTTAATTAAATGATGCATACAAGTTATTCACTTCAATGTTAAGTTGAGTACAACGAAACATTCCGTTATTCTATCTGTAAACGCCATATTAAGACAATCATGCAGCTCTTATTTTTATGATAAAGTAAAAACAAATAAAAGTAAAATACTGTCTTTTAATTTAAAGTTCGACCTCTTTAAGAGTATAAGCTTTTACGTTTGGAAATTACATCTTCAGAATCGAAATTTTGTGTTTCTCTTCAAAATTTTTGTTAAATCTGATTCAATAAAGGTTATGCAATGACAATTGTGTGTGCGAATGATTTTTTGTATATTACGTTTTATATTAAAAAAACAAATAGGATGTACGTTGTGTACTTTTTTTGATGGTTGAATTTCATTTCATTTGATTTGTTTTGCATGTGTTTTCCTTTAACTTTTTAGCTCACTATAGTCATTTTTTTTGCGAATGTTTTTTGGGGATAAATCTTCTATTTACTTCAGGTATCGTAACAGGAACATATGTGATATGCCTCATCATTCAGATAGCAACACAATAATGAATCAGAGTAGAATTATATATTGACAAAAGTATCGTGTATTGTAATTAAATGTATAAAGTGTTGTTTTCATTTTTTACAGCATTTGGTCGATATCTCTGCAGGTGGACTATCCGTTTCCGAGGGTATCATCAGTTTAATTGCAAGTACTTAGGTAAACACATGATTTATATCAAACCTTTTAAGAAATATTCGTTGATGAATTTTAAAATCATCAAGAAAATAAGGTTTCAGAGCTGTCCTTTGACGGACTTGACTATTTGTAAAGGTCCTTTTGATCAAAACACGTCAACTCTCTACGTTCTTCTACATCTTTGGCTTTTAAATGTTCTGTTTTCAGCGTTCCTGCTGAAGGTGAAATTAGAAAAGGCCGTCAGACGCATGAAATTTAGAACGTTTTGTTTTTATAGATATATTTATAAATAGGTTTCTTAATTATTAATATTAGAAGATGTGGTACGATTGACACGAGACAATTCTCCACAACAGATCAAGTTATAGAGTTTCTATATGCCGTTTGTTTTTCTTTGTTGACAAAGTTGTTTGTTTTTATAGTGATTAAGATTATATCCCAATGTTGACTGTTGTACCCTAATTTTTGACATTGTTACCTATTATGTCTGTTTGTATTCATACACATTGTGGTCAATATAATGAAATACAAGTGAGAGGTTTAGTTAGCTATTAAACCAGGTTTAATCCAAGATTTTCCAAGTCAGGAAATGCCGACAGCAAGTCAGGAATATGACGTTGTTTTCCATTCGTTTGATGCGTTTGAGTTTTTGATATTACAATTTAATAATGGACTTTCCGTTTTGAATTTTTCTTATAGTTCGGTCATACAGTAAAAGCTACAAACTTTATATTCGTTTTAATGTGAGACAATTACAAAGAATTAATGCTTTAAAACATTTACTATGTTGTCTATATGCACGAAAGTGATCTCGATAGAAAAATAATCCTTAACATGGAGCTTGCTCATAAAATATATCATATTGCGAAATAAATTTTGATTTTATATCAATTACATGTTTTAGTATGATGTAATACGACGAGGCATTCGTGTCTACTTAAAGGATGGATTATTGATTACGTTTATGTTTTATGTATGGGAGTAAATTTAAGACAAATAAACTAGGAGAAAAATGTCTAAAATAGCCAAAGTGGTTTACCAATGTTCTAATCTGATAAATTGAGTAAGGAGAACATTAAAAATAATGAACACCAACTGAAAAAACCACGTGAACTCAAAAAGAAGAGATACCGTCTGGTTCAACAGGCTAAACAATTAATGCTTAACGAAATGCAGTTTTTTTTTATTTACATGCACAAATGTGATCTCGATAAATTGATAGTTTTAAACATGAAATTGGTTCCTCAAAGAGATCACGTGCTAATAAATATATACAAGTGAACAATAATATAATTTGCTTTTGTTCAGAACAATTGGTTGATAAGTCTTTTCAGAATAGCTTTGTTTGCCTTAACGCGAAGTTCGGTTGGTGATCGAACTTTGGTGTTTTGTTAGAATTGTTGGGTTTTAAAAAACAATAATTTCTAAGTTACTTTTTGTTTTTCGCTTTCATTTTGTACCCGCCTGACCAGTGTTTCTCCTTTTTTTGGCAGTACCTTAATTTGAATGAGAGATAAGGCCATTTGAAATAAGTAGGATTCCCTCCGACAAAAAAGGAAACATAACATAAGTCTTGAAATCAACAAACAATTACCAATAAATTCAGTAATGTCGGGGTTTTTGGTTTGGTTTCTACATTTATACAGTGGTTTTTTAATTTTATACTATTTTTTTCTGACTTTTTGGCAAAGATATGATTTAAATGCAAGAAATGTTTGTTACAATGTATTGTACCTTAAAAAATACTTATTGTCTATTTTATTAAGAATCATCTAAGTGTATTGTTTGATAACGACGTTAAATAAATTGGCTTCATAAGATCCGTAAAGGAGAGGCAAAAGATACTAAAGTGACAGTAAAACTCATAAGTTTTCGTTATTTAGAAAATCCTTAATATTTCGAAAACTTAAAAATTTTGTAAACAGTTAATTTATAATTATGACCATGTCAATAATAATTCACGTCATCACAGAATTAACAGTATACTTTGGAGTCAATTTTGTTCTTGGTCTAAAGATTGATTTCAATGAGGACGACATACGTCATCAGTTCCCGTTGATATTCAAATATTTAGAAGTCAAACATATGTTTTCAACTTTAAATGCGTTAAATTTTAAAACTGAAAACAAAGATGTACTTTAACTTGAATAAAAGAAAATGCCATTTGGAATAAGTAGGATTCCCTCCGACAAAAAATGAAACATAACATAAATCTGGAGATCAATAAACAATTACCGATACAATAAGTTATCATCTCCTGTATTTAATCTTCAATAATTGAATTAAAAAAAAAGTACAATGTGTGCAGATGATTGCATATACGTGTTTCTATTGATTACTATTTTAATCACTAAGGTTTTTCTCCGCCAGGTATAGCTAGCCGTATTTGGCACCACGTTTTCGTAATGATTGGTTATAAGTACTATTCCACTCCGTATATGATTTTACGTTACAACTGTATTGATGTGAGCGCCGCTTATGAGACTTATGTACAAGTGAGAGGTTTAGCGCTATAAAACCAGGTTCAATCCACCATTTTCTACATTTGAAAATGCCTGTACCAAGTCAGGAATATGACAGTTGTTGTCCATTCGTTTGATGTGTTTTGTCATTTGATTTTGCCATGTGATAAGGGACTTTCCGATTGAATTTTCCTCGGAGTTCAGTATTTTTGTGATTTTACTTTGTACACGAAACGCGCGTCGAGCGTAGCTAATTAAAACCTTGGTATTTTATGAGTTTTGACTGTGACGTAAAATATAAAATATAAAATGTGTAAAGATACGTAGTTTTACGTCGTTAATACTAAATGAAACCTAATGTGCTGCTATCATATAGAACGCACTCATTGCATTCTATTATCAATTTAACATGTACGAATAAGATAAACCATTATCGATAGAGTTCAAACGTTCCATTACAAAAGTAATTGTTTGTTGTAAAAAATAGACAGCAATTGAGTAGTCATACTGTGCGGCGTTAATAGAAACTGGCATCTGAAATCATCTGCACACATTGTTCTTTTTTGGTCAATTCAAGTATTGCAGTTTAAATACAGTAAATGATAGATACTAACTTCAATGTGACAGCACACCGACGACACGAAAAACAAACACCTTTGAAAAACCCTCCAAACATATACAGGTTTTATCATAACGGTCTTTAACAACAGACAAGTGTCTATATATTGTAACATATATGAGTAATGTAAGTTAGTCACCGACCGTAAGTTATATGAAGGCGATACAACGGATTCGCATTACTGTGTTGAAATGTTGTATTTTTTAAAAGTCGAACATTATTTTTTTTACGAATCAACGACAATTGTTGCTTTTATGTAGACTATTTTGTGACGTCTTTTGAAAATACTGTTCTTCCATGAACTAATTCCCTGGTATCAGTGGCTTTAAATAACATCCTCATTTTCTAGAACGAAAACTTTAAGGTAATATATTGTGTCGCTGACCGTTAACATCACACACAGTCTGCGATCGTTTGGATCACACATCGTACATCTTTCTTTGAAATGATTACATCAACCAAGCTAGTTTTCGATAAATACATTTCATCAGAAAAAGTCGAAAGCTTGCATTTTAGTGCGGCTATTCGTCATAGAGAAAGTGTCATTAAACAGACACAGGATGAATCTAAATTGATAATAATTAAAGCTACACATACGTTATGAGATCAATTGCATCAATGCCTTTTAACATGTTTCATATAGTCATGGATTAAACTTTTTAAACTCTCGTAGAAATCCATTCGTAAAATATAAACATTAAATGAACAGTTCAAACGACTACCTTAATAATATCAACTGTACT